CCAGTGGGTGCGTACTGCCGATGATTCTCAGACCAGGACGAAGGAAACATCTGTCCAGTACTCCCTGTGGCTGGTTTTCAATGGCTCCCTGAGTGATATCAATCCATGATCAACTCGTTAAAACAAAATTGACCCTTACAAACCAAACTATAGAAGAAGAAATTGCTAATTGGTCACCCTCTGTCATGAATTGCTAGAGATTAGAATTCATGCGCTAGCCATTGGATCAGGTCAGGTGCCAGTGGCTTAATAGCCTACAAGCTCTCTGGCCTTGTAACCAGAAGGCCCTACGTTTTGAAACCCAGGTGAGGTGGATGCGTACTGCTGAAGATTCTCAAACTAGAACGGGAGAAACAGCTGTCCAGTACTCTATAAGGCAGGTTTTGCAACGGTTCCCTTACCGATGTCAGTTCATGATTAAATCCTCCAACCAATCAAACTGTAAATAAGAAGACAATTGCAGCGAAGAAAATTTTCTTTTCAACGAAGTCATCATCTAGGCTGTTTATGATGACCATGGCAGGGACAGGGGTTGGACGTATTTCTTTTGTATACACAGCGTGGGTTTGAGCTTTTGTATAGCTAGCGCCTCGGCTATGCCCAGTTGCCTTGATTTTACTCCCTTTGATGGGTTTGATCGAATCTTGTACATGATTTTGAAGGATTTTTCGAGTGTCGCTGAATGTCCTGAATTAACCAGATGTTCTGTCACCGAACTATTTACCCGTTTTCGTTCTCCTTTTACTAGCCAGGCTGGATAGTGTTCACGAGCGCGTTTTTCAAGTCGGCGCATGTTACGGCCAACGTACTCAGCTCCACAAGAGTAAGTAAACTGGTATATGCACGCTGAGGTGGCCCAATGCAACAGCTTGTCTTTCGCGTTCTGGCTGAACAGTTTCTTGCAGGAAAACGTCAGTCGTAGGCTCTCGGCGAAGTATGTTTTCCTCAGCGATTTTGAGAGGCGTTTGCGAACGTACTATGTGTTTCCTTGTTAAAATAGATAACGGAATGAGGGCTCAGAAGTAACAGAAAATCAGTATTCCGTATTCTGTTAATTTTTGCTTTCACATATTGAACCCTAAACAGCCTATACTCTGCTCTATACTTAGATTTGGTGTCCTCTCAGTTAGTTTCAACGACCACACTTTGAAAATTTCAGCTCTAAACTTTTGACAGTTTATGAAATAAGTTTAAGTGTTGGTTCATATTTAAACAAATCCATGGTGAAAGTTCATCCAAGGTGGTTTTTGACCAGAGGTGAACCACATTGACTAACTGAGCCTAAAAGAATGCAACGGTTGTCTAGCGTTTACAACACTGATAATCTTCCTACTATTTCTTACGAATAAATTTCAACTACTCATTAATCAATCAGTAGTATGCAATATTCGAGATAAAATTATCGCTTACTTAACTTCAATTTCTCTCTTTTTGATACTTTTCAAGACAGGATTGACCATCTGATGAAAATTGTCCTTCAAACACATGCCACTATGCAGTACAGTCACTTTGATGATGTCCGGGCATCTGCACAAGAAGTCGATATGTCAACCTGAGATCGAGAAGCAGATGAATAATCCCTAATTTATTATAGACGTCATTAATGTACCCACTGCAGACAATGACCAGAAACACAGTGATGAGCATGCAATGGTCAGTGAGGACCCAGTAGATTGCTCTGTTCAGTCAATCAGTCAATCGATCAACCAGTGATAAGGATTCTTGAACTTCAATTATGTATCCACTTTTGATTTCAGGGTTCCCGTTGGTTACAGGATTGATGACAAATTGGCTTCAGGAAAGAGAAGAACCATTGGAAACCTACTGAACAACAGGTAGTAAGTAGTGGGTAGCTGTTTCATATTAGCAGTACTCATTCATCGCCAGGGTTTAAGCTCAAGACCTTTTGATTACAAGTTAAGCTTGTAGACCATTGTTATTCAACCACTAGGATCCAATTTCTATAATATCTAGCTCAACCGCTAGCCAGTGTCAGAGGTGAGTAATGAATTATGCCCACTTATTCAGATGACATAGTACCAATGGCTAAAGGAAGAAGGTGCGTCGGTGGCACATCTGTCAGGACGCTTTCTGACCATGAACATCGTCTAGAGTTCGATCCCCGGCCAACGAAGCACTCCTTTACCTCGGTAAGCCAGTAATTAAAAAAAAGCTGGTAAAGAGGAAATGTTGGGCCAGCATGACGCTGGCTGGCTAGCGAATACATCCTGTAAAAATAATCACCATTGCCACAGAAACTTCAAGCCTCTAGCTTGAAGTGAAGCCCTATGTTACACTGGGGAACGTGAAGGAATAAAAAAAAGAAATCTTCTTGATGGATTTAACGACACATAATTCTTAAAGATAAGCCTAGTGGGTAGATGTTAACAAGATTCTCCGAAAGACATCAGGAGAGTTTTGTCACAGTAAAGATTAATAAGTTCGGGTGTTTATGATCATGTAAGCTTAATCAATGATAGTGAGAAGAGATTCGTGGATACCATAGTACGTTGAATAAAGGAAAGTTCCAACATAATCCAGTCTTTGGTTAATCTACTTTCAAAAGTATCAATCACAACAGATATGGCAAATTTCATTATTATTATTGCTCCCTTGAGTTCCTAGAGCAACATACGGCTTCAACTCCACGTCTCACGCCACTTGCTTCTGTCTTCCTTCTGCTCTACTTTTCACCTCCATCCATCCGTGTTAGTCCATACTCTTTCAACTCATCTCTCTTCACACCATCTCCTCCATGTCACCCACCCTTGCACTGACGTCTCACTCACCGCTTCCCTTTCGGCCTAGTTCCACTCGAGACTGGTCTGTCACCCAGGCGCGATGTCACCCAGCGGCCAGCCTCCTCAGCGAGCGAGTGTCCAACCCATCCATCTCCACTTTCTCCAACTGCATATTTGTTGGTTGGCGATTGGTTCTTGTTTTCTTTGTTTGTTTGTTTGTTCCCACACTTCGTTCTTGTTGGTGATTCTTTCCGGCCCGCCCATCTGAATGATCTTCAGTATAGAGCCAGCGAAGACAGTTGTTGTTGTTGATAAAGGTCTGCAACAGGCTGTTGGAAATATTCTTTGTGACCCGCCCGCCAAGTTTCTGATCCGTTCCGTATAGAAGAACTCACTGACTTGATGTTGTTTGTATTGAAAATCCAACGGAACTTTGTTGTTGATTCTGGCTGAGTGACGAAGATTTCCAGATTGATTTGATTGATGGCAAATTTTAGGTCGTGGTATATTACGATGGGATAACGGATATAACCTCCGTTAGTTTCAATAAGGTTTAATGATCAATACATTTCAGAAATGGAAATTTTTATAAAACTTACAAAGCAAAAAAAAAGAAAAACAAGAAAGAAAACAAAATTCTATATTGGTTTGTTTACTAGACGGATATATCACACGCACACACACAGTCAGGGGGACAGTATTACTATTTACTGGATGACAAAGTTTCGAACAAAATTATTGCTGTTCATAATCATATCGCCAATTATAATCACACGACTTCGAAACTTGACTTTTATAGTTTTCTGTGTTCTCTCCTACTCGTTGTCGTTGGCGTCACAGAGTTCCAGGGGAAAATATAAAAACAAACCTAGGGAGTTGCCAAGGGGTCACCAATATACCCGGTTCTGGCAGATATAATCATGGTTAGGTAGGAAAACATAGCAATTGAAACGTTCACCTCGCCGCAAAAGTAGGTATGTGGATGACTGATTCACTGTACTTAGAACACAAGATATAAATAGATTTTTCGAACACATCAGCTCGAAGGTAGAAGCAATTCAATCCACCTATGAATTAGAAAGTCAGGAAGCAGGGGGAACTGTCAATGTTTGATTGCAACGTAAAAAAGAAAGAAGATGGGAAGTTAAACACACGGGTGTGTGTTTACAGGAAACCCACACATTGAAATAGATACTTGGAATTACGATCATTCCATCCTATGTCAGTGAAAATAGATTGGTGAAATGTTTAAGTGACAGAGCACAAAAGCTAATTAGTACCAAGGAAAATCTAAGACAGGAAGTGAGGTCTATAAGAGTAGCTTTTGAAACTTAATAATTACCCGGATAAATTAGTCAAGAAATATGTAAGGAAATGTAAAAATAAAATAAATAATGATGGTAGTGATATTGATAATAATAATAATAATGCTAGTAATGGCGACAACAACAATAAGAATCTAAATCATCAGTAGTAATTCCATACAAGGAAGAAACTTCGGAATTCTTAACAAAACAGTCAGGAATAAAAGTGGCTGTTATTCAAACCAACCACCCACAAACTCAATTAGAAATAAGCTTTGTCGGTTAAAGGATCATTCTGTGAGGCCTTTTAAACAAAACAATTTGGTTTATCTAATACCCTGTCTGCAATGATTGTCAGGTCAAATACATAGACGGGTCAAACTAGTAGAACAGGAGCAGTCAGTCAGGCTAGACGAGCATGAAAACCTACCAAAATCTAGACTAGTTGACTCGAATAAGATAAGAAATCTGGAGAATGTTCAGCTATACCATTCACTACATGCGATCACACTCAACCATACAATAGGATGGATGGGATAGGATGACAGTTTTAAAATCTAATGCAGTAGCATGGTGAAGAAGATATTGATAATAGAAGCTTTGTTTCTGGAATGATTCAACACCTGTTCCAGATATCTTGAACACTCTACTACCCCATATGACGACAGATAGGAGAGAAGAAAGAAACCTATAAAACTGAAGTTTCGAAGTTGTGTGATTATAATTGGCGATATGATTATGAACAGCAGTAGATTATGTTCGAAACTTTGTCATCCAGTAAATAGTAATACTGTTCCCCTGACTGTGTGTGTGCGTGTGTGATATATCCATCTGATAGACTAACTAATATGAAATAACATAAACTACCACAGTGCTAAAGTTTTACACACACATATAATAATAATTATTTAAAAAAAGAAAACAAAATGTAAAATTTTATCATTTTTTCACGCACTTTTTTACTCACCTTAGCATATCGGTTACCCGAATGCTTTGCTTGTACATGAACATCCAATTCTTCTTTTGTATCAAATGACATAAAGCATTGCTCACAACGAAATGGTTTGCCTTTCATATGTTGACGTTGATGGGATTGTAAATTAGACATTTGTGTAAAACTTTTCATACATGTTGTACACCTGTTTTTTTTTGTTGTTGTTGTCATGGTTGTTGTTTTGTGTATTTTGAAGGGATAAAATTGAAGAAAAAAGAAAAAAACCCAGAAAAAGTTAAATTAACATATCATTTAAACGAAAAGTATAGTATAAATATCATAATATTTCGATGAAATTCAAATCACCTGCCTCTCCCCCACGGATGACCTTGAGCAACCAATCAAAATTCTTCTTATTATTATTATTATTTCCTTGCGTTCTCAGTGGAACATAGGCTTTCAACAATACATCTCCACATAGTTCTGTTTCCTGCTATCATTTTCAGCAGGATAGCAAACGACTGATCAAACAAAGAATATTTCCAACAGCCTGTTGCAGACCTTTATCAACAACAACAACAACTGCCCTCGCTGGCTCTATACTGAAGATCAATCAGATGGGCGGGCCGGAAAGAATCACCAACAGCAAGAACGAAGTGTGGGAACAAACAAACAAACAAACAAACATAGAAAACAAGAACCAATCGCCAACCAACAAATATGCAGTTGGAGAAGGTGGAGATGGATGGGTTGGACACTCGCTCGCTGAGGAGGCTGGCCGCTGGGTGACATCGCGCCCGGGTGACAGACCAGTGCTCGAGTGGAGCCAGGCCGAAAGGGAAGCGGCGAGTGAGACGTCAGTGCAAGGGTGGGTGACATGGAGGTGATGGTGTGAAGAGAGAGGAGTTGAAAGAGTATGGAATAACATGGATGGATGGAGGTGAAAAGTAGAGCAGAAGGAAGACAGAAGCAAGTGGCGTGAGACGTGCAGTTGAAGCCGTATGTTGCTCTGGGAACTCAAGGGAACAATAATAATAATTAATTCTTTCTGGCCATTTAATCTTAATCATGGAGGCAGCCAGCGAAGTTGGCAGCTGTTGATGTTAGTCTGTATTGGCTTTTTAGGAAATCCTATTCGTGACTAACATGCAGTGCAAGTTTCTGACCCTTATAAAAGAACCGACTTGACTGGGGGATCCCAGTGAGCACAAAACCTAGTTCTTGGAAGGGCTTCCTGTAACATATTACCTCCAATCGTCTAATATCAACAATTCACAGTGCATATTACCAAAGAAAGGAGGCTTAAGTTAATGCAGGAACTGGCGCGGAATTATGCTCCTATCCATCACAAGTAAAATAATAAGCCGCATCATCCTGAAGAGAATCAAATAAGCCAAACTGGATGAAAAACTTTGACCGGAACAAGCTAGATTTAGGAGAAGCAAGTCATATGTTGATCGAATTGCCACACTACGGATCATCATTGAACAAACCTTGGAATGGCTGTTATCTCTCTATCTCAACTTCATCGACTTTGAAATGGCCTTTGACAGCGTCGATAGAGAGGTGATTTGGAAACTACTTCGCTACTACGGGTGGGGTGTCATCGACAATTATACATCTCATCCAACAGTTATACGACAATGCTGCATGCCAAGTAATCCACAACTCGAAACTTACGGAAGCCTTCGAAGTGAGGACAGGAGTGACACAAGCTGGCTGTCTACTATCGCCAATGATCTTCCTGATTGCAGTAGATTGGATAATGCGACAAACAGCCGGCAATGAGGAAACAGGCATAAAATGGACTCACAAAAAAAACTTGGAGGATCTGGACTTCGCCGATGATACATGTCTGATTTCCCACAAACTGGAAGATATTCAAGTGAAAATCAGCAAGCTGGCAGAAGGAGCATCAAAGATAGGACTTCAGGTGAGCACAGAGAAAACGGAGGTGATGAAGATTCCTGGCCAACATCAACACCAACAACAACAACAACAGACAACAATCAGCCAGCACAAATGGGAGGAACCTGAAATAAACAACCTCCTTCACCTACCCATCTGGGAAGCATTGTTTCAATTACAGGCGGATGGAACGGACGAGGATATCAAAGCCAGAATAGGAAAAGCAAGACAAGCTTTCATTACTCTCAAGTCTGTGTGGGGGATCGACAGCACTCAATATCAAAACGAGTATAAGATCCGGATATTCAACTCCAATGTGAATTAAGTCAGTGCCACTTGCTATACGGATCAGAGACTCGCACTGCGCATCATAAAGAGCATCTCAAACAAACTACAGACCTTCATCAACAATTGTCTTCGCTTAATACTTAGGATCAGATGGCCGGCCAGAAAAGATCACCAACAGGGAGGGATCTCTGGCAATGTGTGAACCAACCCAACAGGAACCGATTGTGAAACAAATAGGCAGGGAGAAATGGAGATGGATTGGCTGGCCATACTCTGAGGAAACGAACCATCAAGTGAGTGACATCACTAGACAAGCCATTGCTCGAGTGGAACCCGCCTGAATGGGAAGCGGCGAGTTGGTCGTCAGTTGCGAGGGTGACTTTGAGGAGGTCATGTGAAGAGGAGATGAAAGCATGTGGGCAGACTTGGAGCGGAGTGAAAACGTTGACAGAGAAAACCGAACGCAATGGTGACTTGGGCGGCTGAAGCCGTATGTTCCTCTAGGAATTAAAGGATATAATAATAATTAATAATAATTGCAAAAAAGAGGCATAATTTCTCCTCCTTTTCACTGTTATTATCCCCTTACCACTCTGACTGTATATTTAAAATTGGCACTATTATTACGATTATTATTATTATTATTATTACGATCTCTTCTACCTCCCCCACCCTCTGTTTATTTTTCTTACCCCTTCCCTGGAATTTAGACATACACAACGAAGCAATAAAATATAAACAGCAAGATAGGGTAAGGAGGTGGGGGAGGCGAGAAAAACTTGAAGAAAAAAACGCTTCGCAAATACACAAGACAGAGAGAGAGAGAGAAATAAAGAAAAAAAGAGCTGAAAATGTCCAGAAACTAGGTCTGACCCAGATTTGACCATTTGTTTTTTTCAAATATATAAATGCATACATATAGATGTACCTTTATCTATGTGCACACTATACCATTTGAAATGTACTTCTATAGTTTAATGCGGACAGGGAAACACGCACGCACGCACGCACACACGCAGGCAGACAGACAGAGAAACATGAACATTGAAGAAAAAAATATTGTAGAGACAAGTAGAGAAACAGAAAATAACTAAGCAGAGTATCATCCCTGTGTTGTTTGTGTTGTTTGTTTTTCTTTGGCATTTTGAAGGTTTTTGTTTAAAGCAATTTAGGCGCGCGCGCACACACACATGCAAGCACGCACGCATTCACAGACACACAATTGTCATATGAGATGACGATTGTCCAGATCTGGGTCATTATAATTATTCTTTTTGTTATTATTATTAGTAGTAGCCATAGTTGTTGTTTCATTGTCGTCGTATTAATCTACTTTAAAAAACGCGGCTTTCTGACCAACACTTAACACGCACCCAGACACAGACACACGAACAAAGATAATATGTACATGTCTCAACACAATCCCCTAATATTCCTTCATTATTCTACTCAAAATATCCCCTTCTTCTTAATTTTTTAATTTTTAATTTTTTTACTTTTATTATTTCGCCCTTGTCTCAGTTAAAGTTTGATAATTGTCTGCTGTGGAATCATTTTTTATTCGTCCGGTTGGTTCGCTGGTCGTTTCAATTGTCCAACTCAAATGCCGCCCCTACTCCACCTCGTCGACTCGTCGAAAACATTCAAACCTCCACATCGAATACTTAGAAAACCTGCTCAAATTTGAATTTACCTACGAAGCGTAACTAACTAACTAACTAACTAACTAACTAACTAACTAACTAACTAACTAACTAACTAACTAACTAACTAACTAACTAACTAACTAACTAACTAACTAACTAACTAACTAACTAACTAACTAACTAACTAACTAACTAACTAACTAACTAACTAACTAACTAACTAACTAACTAACTAACTAACTAACTAACTAACTAACTAACTAACTAACTAACTAACTAACTAACTAACTAACTAACTAACTAACTAACTAACTAACTAACTAACTAACTAACTAACTAACTAACTAACTAACTAACTAACTAACTAACTAACTAACTAACTAACTAACTAACTAACTAACTAACTAACTAACTAACTAACTAACTAACTAACTAACTAACTAACTAACTAACTAACTAACTAACTAACTAACTAACTAACTAACTAACTAACTAACTAACTAACTAACTAACTAACTAACTAACTAACTAACTAACTAACTAACTAACTAACTAACTAACTAACTAACTAACTAACTAACTAACTAACTAACTAACTAACTAACTAACTAACTAACTAACTAACTAACTAACTAACTAACTAACTAACTAACTAACTAACTAACTAACTAACTAACTAACTAACTAACTAACTAACTAACTAACTAACTAACTAACTAACTAACTAACTAACTAACTAACTAACTAACTAACTAACTAACTAACTAACTAACTAACTAACTAACTAACTAACTAACTAACTAACTAACTAACTAACTAACTAACTAACTAACTAACTAACTAACTAACTAACTAACTAACTAACTAACTAACTAACTAACTAACTAACTAACTAACTAACTAACTAACTAACTAACTAACTAACTAACTAACTAACTAACTAACTAACTAACTAACTAACTAACTAACTAACTAACTAACTAACTAACTAACTAACTAACTAACTAACTAACTAACTAACTAACTAACTAACTAACTAACTAACTAACTAACTAACTAACTAACTAACTAACTAACTAACTAACTAACTAACTAACTAACTAACTAACTAACTAACTAACTAACTAACTAACTAACTAACTAACTAACTAACTAACTAACTAACTAACTAACTAACTAACTAACTAACTAACTAACTAACTAACTAACTAACTAACTAACTAACTAACTAACTAACTAACTAACTAACTAACTAACTAACTAACTAACTAACTAACTAACTAACTAACTAACTAACTAACTAACTAACTAACTAACTAACTAACTAACTAACTAACTAACTAACTAACTAACTAACTAACTAACTAACTAACTAACTAACTAACTAACTAACTAACTAACTAACTAACTAACTAACTAACTAACTAACTAACTAACTAACTAACTAACTAACTAACTAACTAACTAACTAACTAACTAACTAACTAACTAACTAACTAACTAACTAACTAACTAACTAACTAACTAACTAACTAACTAACTAACTAACTAACTAACTAACTAACTAACTAACTAACTAACTAACTAACTAACTAACTAACTAACTAACTAACTAACTAACTAACTAACTAACTAACTAACTAACTAACTAACTAACTAACTAACTAACTAACTAACTAACTAACTAACTAACTAACTAACTAACTAACTAACTAACTAACTAACTAACTAACTAACTAACTAACTAACTAACTAACTAACTAACTAACTAACTAACTAACTAACTAACTAACTAACTAACTAACTAACTAACTAACTAACTAACTAACTAACTAACTAACTAACTAACTAACTAACTAACTAACTAACTAACTAACTAACTAACTAACTAACTAACTAACTAACTAACTAACTAACTAACTAACTAACTAACTAACTAACTAACTAACTAACTAACTAACTAACTAACTAACTAACTAACTAACTAACTAACTAACTAACTAACTAACTAACTAACTAACTAACTAACTAACTAACTAACTAACTAACTAACTAACTAACTAACTAACTAACTAACTAACTAACTAACTAACTAACTAACTAACTAACTAACTAACTAACTAACTAACTAACTAACTAACTAACTAACTAACTAACTAACTAACTAACTAACTAACTAACTAACTAACTAACTAACTAACTAACTAACTAACTAACTAACTAACTAACTAACTAACTAACTAACTAACTAACTAACTAACTAACTAACTAACTAACTAACTAACTAACTAACTAACTAACTAACTAACTAACTAACTAACTAACTAACTAACTAACTAACTAACTAACTAACTAACTAACTAACTAACTAACTAATACACGCTATACCTACCTACCCAAAATACTTTTGCTCATTCCCTACCCCTTATCTTGTTACTTTCCTTTATTTAGCTCTGTCTAACTAAAATGTAGTGAGAATAAGCATTTTACACGTTCACTTCTTCACTGCCTTTCATTTTAGATTTGACTAAGTGCTTAGAAACATATATATATATATATATTAGATAGAGAGATCTCCTAGCGAAGGAATAGGGCGTGGATTGGTGTGACTGACCATGTTGACCACTTCATTTATTTGTGGAGTTGTATTAGCCAGCGCCAGTGTGTTGATTGCTGAAGAAATCACAGCACGGATAGAGAAGAAGGCCAGTTTACACTGTCTCTGGATTAGTGTAGACGTGATAAACAGTTAGTTGGCTGTCTATCCATCAAAGGACGTGTGTGTACAGAGGGCTGGCTGTCATCTAATACGGAAAGCAATGTACATAGACTGGAGATACACTTTATGCAGGTTGTTGAATAACCCTTGAGGGAATGTGAAATGCGAAGTGATTAGTTGGACATGATGGGTCCAAGAGTGACATGTGAAAGAGATCATGTGAGTGCAGCGTGGAATAAAAACCAGTTAAAAGAGATTGCAATAGAAGAAAGGGTGAGATGTAGATGTCTCTCTGAAGCCTTGTGTTCGACTCCATACCTGAGAAAATAATTATTATCAATATCATTATTATTACTATTGCTAAACATTTCTGAATTGCCAATTTATAGTCCTGGTATCTCAGGCAGTTTATTGCATCCTCATGATGAAACCTGAGTGGTGCATATCTTCTTCTTGCACGACCTCTCCACGTTAACCTCTAATAAATTGTCATGAGAAAATTGTTGCCTTCTGCTGTCTGACGCCAGCCAAACTCTCAGAAGCATCAAAAGTCTTCATCTTCACCTCCAACAAAAGCGGAGGAGACATATATGGTGATGGAGAACACATTTCTTTCAGTACTTCACGTTCTTAGTGGAACATAGGGCTTCAATTCAAGCTAAAGGCTTGAAGTTTCTGCAGCTGTGGTGATTTTTTTTGTAGGATAGGGTTGCTAGCCAGCCAGCCTCATGCTGGCCCAACCTTCCCTCCTTAGCGAGGTAATGGAGTGCGTTGGCAGATGGTAATCGAACCCCGGACCACATAAGGTGTGGTTGGCGAGCATTCCACTCTGTGCCACCGATGTACTACATACATTCAGTGACGATGAAATACGTAACAACTGCTGTTTATGATCCTTAAAGAGAACATTACGTAATATTATTTTTATTGTTGTTATTACTATTATTCCTTTGGATTATGAATGAAACACACGGCTTTAAAAGCATATTTCCACTTTTTCATGTTCTCTACAGTCCTCCCGTCCCACTAGCTTGCTTCAGAATTACAAATATTCAGCCTATCATCGCCAATTGATAAGATCTCCTCGGACATACGTTGAGGTTCGTTCACCACCCTCGCACTCTCTATGTTCACTTGAATTCCTGTCTTCACTGCTGATTCCTTCTGAAAAAATATTTGGTTTTCGCTTATAGGTCTTCGAGTTTATCTCACAGTAGACACTGGTCGTCCGTCATCTTCGAAGTCCATATCTTCTAAAGTCTTCTCACTTATCACATAAAGTATTCCACAGGATTCTTCTCAACCATAATCAAGAATGCGTTGGTGAAACAGTGGCAGGGCACTCACTGACCACGCCTCATGTGGTCCGGGGTTCGAATCTCGGCGGCCAACGCACTGCTTTACCTTGCAAAGCCAGTATTAAAGCTGGTAAAGAGGAAATGTTGGGCCAGCATGAGGCTGGCTAGTAACCCTATCCTGTAAAAATAATCACCACTGCTACAGAAACTTCAAGCCTGTAGCACTTGAGGGCGCCGTATATTCCCCTGCGAACGTAAAGGAATTTAACAAAAATAGTAATCAAGATGATCATGAGTGATAGCCGGCGATATTATTGATGATTTCCGCTTGTATGTCTTCGATTTTGTGTAAAATTAGACAGAAATAGTTGGAGAAGTCCATATCTCACAGATTCATTCAAATCTTACCTCTTTACGAACTTTATTTCTGGCCTAGCGAGGTAAGGTAGGAGTGCGTCGGCGGCCGGGGGTCGAACCCCAGACCACATGAGGCATGATCGGCGAACGTCCTAACCACTGTGCCACCGAAGCATCCATCCCATAATATAAAATATATATAGACAACTAAACAAGTTCTCATCATTATAGGTTAAAAAAAAATCGGAAATAACTCACCGATAAGGCTTTTCTCCTGTATGTATCCTTTCATGTTGTTGTACATGACTGAGTTGGGTGAATCGACGATCACAATACCGACATGCATAAGGTTTAACACCGGTGTGTATACGTCTATGCTGGGAGAGATAGGCACAAGTTGAAAATTGTCGTCCACACTGTTCACATCGATATGGTCGTGGATCTTGCTTATGCGTTGCAGCATTGTGCGCTGACAAATCATGACGTGAAAAACATACCTAGAAATAAATCAATAAATAAATCGATAGAAACAAAAGTAAAAATCAATAATAATAATAATAAGGATAACTAGGTCATCTAATCTTATTGGTTCTATACATGACCACTAGTCGGTTACAACACTTCCAACAGCCAGCTGGAATAAACATTCATGAATTGTTGCCTTCATTGAATACTGAAGGTCAGGGTGACACTCTGTGCCAGAGAACTAAAATCAATAACCTGCTGTTCAATAAATATGCAAAAGTGTTTGTTTGTAGAGATTTCGCTGATTGGTTACAGGATTTCATCATGAGCTGACATTAGTTAGAGAACCATTAGAAAACCAGTCACAGGAAGTACTGGACAGCTGTTTCGTCAACGCTAGTTTGGAACTCTTCAGCAGTACGCACTCATCCCACCTGGGTCCGAACCCAGGACCTTCTGGGTACAAAACCAGTGAGCTCGTATGCCATTAAGCCACTGGAACCCAACCCGATCCAATGGCCAGTACATAAATTCTAACTTCTGCCAATTGACGACATAGCGCGACCGCTAGCCAATGTCTTTCGTGGAGAGTATTTGTCCTCACTCACTAGCGATTTGCCCTATTCAGGTAGGTAGTTACCTGAGGTTCTAGTGAGACGTTGTGACCAGTAGGGTGCAGCAGGTCGGGTGTGAGCTTACTGGCCTTGTACCCAGAAGGTCCTGGGTTCGGACCCAGGTGGGATGAGTGCGTACTGATGAAGAGTCCCATACTAGGACAGAGGAAACAGCTGTCCACTACTTCCTGTGACTGGTTTTCTAAAGGTTCTCTAACTAATATCAGCTCACGATGAAATCCAGGAAGTCTCTTTCACATAGTAAGTCACTTATTGAATTCCAGTTGAATTCAAGCAATGCTTTCATGACTAAATGGTCAATATTGCCGCATCTTCGTAACTTGAAAGAAAGTCTTCGGTTGCACTGCTGATAGAGTAATCGATAAGAGCACTGTAGTAATCCCCATTGCTTCTTAGTTTTCAGTGGTTTGTCTAACCGATATCAGTTCACAACGTAACCCGCTAGTTTGGTGCACTTAGGGTTTAAATTGACCTTGGAATCCTATCGGAACCGAAAAACCACATTAGCGCATTGTCTATTTGTTTTCAACATAGAACTTTGCACTGATGTGCAACAGTTCAAGTCGGCACACTCCCTTCATGTAGCACACAAAGCAAGAGAAGAGTAAAGTATAAGGAAATGCAAAATAGAGACACTGGATAGGGATATGAGACAAAAGGAATAGTAATAACTAAGAATAATATAGTTTTATTGAAAATTATAAGTCACAAGAAGTGGATGCATCTGTGTCAGTCATTAAGAACGATGATTGTGAGCTAGCCATATCACAAAAATTGTCTCCAGCCTTCATTAGTATTTACCGTCTCATGGACCACAACCAGACAGGAAGTCTACACTTTCCTACATGGATGGATTAAAGTAACTGTTATGGATTTCATTGTCTGATGGAGCCATGTTTCGGTTTGACTACCATTAGTTCTTTTCCAACCTGACGAATCCTATGTCAGCTAACATTGCCCATCGAGGAAGGCGATCGATGGCTAGGGTGCATGAGTAACACATGTCCTAACCATCTTACTAAATCGATGTTACTTCACAGCCTCGTCTATTGATTTCCCCTCCTTCCTAACCTAACACTCAACTGAAGCCTAACGTCAATATTGCTCATCCTATTACGCCAATTCACACGGAAGATAGAACGCAGGCGCCTATGATCAAAGACAGCTAACTGGCCTTTCCACATCTTCCACTTTCAATATCCAGGTCTCACTCACAACCACAAAGAAGGATGGAGCGGACTACTGTCGCACAGTACACCCGCCCTTTACTTGATAGCCAAAAGGCTAGTGTAAGCAAACAGCTGCTCCTGAAGGCTGCTCAACTTCTTGACTAGACTCTTTTTTATTGGGGTCAGACTTCAAGACAACCATTGCCTGGTTCGGTCTAGGCATCCAGACAGTAAGTATCCCAACAAATAATATAAAGTGAATTTCATTTATCCAATGTCGCATATATTTTATAGACTCACGATGATTCATACAAAGTGAAGACAAAACACACACACACACGTGATGGCTGAGTCATGCACTCACGCATACACACACACACACCTCATAGGAAAACAGTATTGTACACTAGATTTAGATCACCCAAGAATATCACGTACAATTATTCAATAAACAAAAAGTACACGACAGTGTTAATGCACAAATGTGCGTCGGTGGCACAGTGGTTAGGACTCTCGCCGACCATGCACATGGTCCGGGGTTCGAGCCCACGCCGGCGCACACCTGATATCTATGGTCGGCCTGCAAAATTTGGGCTACCGATATCCATGCTGAAAATTCCATACTGTACCAAAACTACAGTGTGGAATCAAGCTGTAAATCAAAAATAAAAATAAAAAATAAAATAAAAAATACTAGTATTCAGTACTGGGCAGTTATTTTTAATCTACTTTGTTTTTGTATGTGTATGTGCGCGCGTGTGCGGAGACGCGTTTGTCCCTAAATAACTATTACTATTGTAACAACCGGCAACAGATCGTTTTATTACGGAAATCAGCACGTATTTATATATATTTCATGTACATTATCATAGCTTATTCAAGTAGACGAACGCAGTCTTCTGATTGGTTGTTTTCGAGATTTCTCGGAAAATGGAGCCATCTATCTGCGAATCATATTTGCCCACGTTTAAGTCTGCTATGATTGGTTGTTGAATCAGCCTTGTTCATATTTTCTCATGGCCAAATTAGTGACCTAGACATTGACGTAGATTAATGTCTACCAATTGGCTAGCAGCCTGCTCTCACCACACTATTACTACTAATACTATTACTCTTCTAAATACTCGATATCAGCAAAGTAAGGTCTAGCTTCAGAGCATTTTCCCTGAATGGCTCTAGAAGCAAATAGAATCTCCAGAACCTATTACTAGTAAGAACAGGCGACCTAGTTCCTCTCTTGCCAGATACATTATAGAGACAGGACATAAAATTAACGTTTACGCATGCCTTTTAAACCTATTTATAGAATGTGTCTGGGAGAGGGCGTATTATAAAGTTTGTGGAAGCTGTAGCTAGGTGGCAATTAGGAAGTTTAAAAACCACCTTTATACGGACAAAGCAAAAACAGTTCGTCATCACACTAAACCTACCTTCTTCCTGGGTAAACTTTGTTTTGATACCAGTCAGGGTAGATGTACTATTTATTACCTCTTTTATATGGTTTAGTGATCTTCATTGTTCTATTTTTACCTTGAATATGTCCTCCTTTCAACTTGATCTAAGTAGTCTATTTTATCACCTCTTAACTCTTCATTATTAATTTTTACGAGTTGATCACGGATTAATACCTCAGGGAGTACTGGACAGCTGTTTCCTTCGTCCTAGTTTTTGGAAATCATCGGCAGTACGTATCCACCTCCAGCAAGGATTTGAACCCAGGATCATCCAGTTACAAGGCCAGTAAGCTCGTAGACCATTCATTGAACCACTGGAACCCAACCCAATCCAATGACCATTCCATGAATTCTAACTTCTTATCAATTCGTGATCATTTTAGTGCAACTGGCACCAACCAATGTCATCGGTGGGAAATCCATTCTCACACACTTGACTGGATGGATCTCACATGTATATATATATATATACCCCTATGACAAGTCCATGTGTGTGCGTGTGTGTGTGTGTGGTCATTTATTCTTATTATATATACATACATCCATACAGACAACCATAAGTGTATTGATTAGTATCGATTATCAATTTTATGTAATAATGACATTAATATTATGACGTAGCGAATATTTTGAAATTATTGATTAATTCACAAGTATAAATTGAAACATTCACATGATTTTTTTCGTAAAATCTTGTCTGTATATGAACGAATTCATAAATAAATGAAACTATTGTCAATAATTATGCGTTGGTGGCACAGAATTCGAGTGTTCGCTGACCACGGATGTGGTTCGGGGTTCGAACCTCGGCCGCCAGTGCACTCTTTTACCTCGCTAAGGCCAGTAATAAGAATGGTAAAAGCGGGCCAGCATGAGCGCCTGGCTAGCAATCCTATCTTGTGAAAATAATCACCACTGCTATAGAAACTTCAAGCCTCTAAGTTGAAGCCCCCCCCACTTTGTTCCTCTGAGATCGTCAAGGAATTTAAAAAATTGTCATTATTGATATAAGTATAAAACGTGGACATTGTGGTGATAGAATATAACTCCATTATGAATACAAAATTTTATTCCGATAAAATCACACAGTGTGTTTGTGCTTGTTATACAATAATATTTACCGATGATGTGACCACAAACTTCTAGCGAGATAATGTACATTCAAAAATCGTAATAATAATAATGATATAAGTGTTATCAATCAAATACAATAACATGGGAAATAACTTGTTAGAATGTTATAATGTACGTGAATTGAATTGAAATACATTTTAAAATTATTTATTATCCTCCTCTGATTTGACTGACTGGTGGTAATAATATCTTCCATATCTCTGGTATTAGCGATGATGAGTCACTCCTGTTGCATGTGGTGTGTTCGATGTAGACTCAATGAACCAGACAGGATTCAGTAATCAATCCTTATCTCTCTCTCTATCTCCACCTATCTACATTAGTTCTTAGAATTTTAACCCTCTCCCACTCACCCTATTGTGTGGTTGCGTGTTAAAACATGCAGTGTTGTTGGTGAGCTATTTTCTCAATTACTTATATTCGTGTGGTTAACCATTCTTACCTTAGCCACTAAATTCTTATGTTCCAACAATCTGACTACCCCGACCTACTAGTTTGACCTATTCGGTTGAGACTTAACTCACAGTCATTGCAATGTATTTTGTAAATTATATTATTTCGTGTAATTGGGTCAACTTACAGGGTCCTTTAACCTTCAGAGCTTGTCCTGCCTGAGTGAGTTTGTTGTTAGAGAGTTTGA